ATTCACTTTTTTCTTGCTTTACTTTAATTAGCAAACTTTTCAACCAAAATCGAGTCGCTAGATAATGATTCAAATGATTGAAGTAGGGGTACACGGACCGGCTCGAGTCAATATTTAAACATACTTGCCATGTACTGCACCCGACTAAAGTTTGTACTTGGACCTTAGACGGGATTTAATTGTGGTATTCGGGATGAGTCAGGTTAGTAGTTAGTTGTAGTTAATCGCGGTAGTAAACAAAAAAATGTTACATGTTGAAATTAACCCCATAAGGACAGAGAAACTATAAAAAAGAAATGGGTTAGCCTGCCGAAATCGAAAAATCTAGAAGCTAACACCCTTGAATCTACAGCACCGTCACACTAGTAACCGTAGGATTTTGATTCATAATTGGGGAAGAAAATTTTTAATGGAGGGAAGACGACTTACAAATAGAGAGCGGAAGAAAAAATGATTTGGTGGAGGGCACTGGAGTTCGGATGTGTTGAGTTCGGGGGGAAGATTGACGACTGATGCTAGGAGAACTGGTGGTGGTAAGGCCTCTTGTCCTTAGGTGTTCGGCATGGCCTTCTGTTTCAAAGTTTATTGTAGTTAGGTAATCAGTCAAGGTCATACTGGTGCGATATGTGGTTAGTCATTAGTCTAATCTTTTGTAGTAGCTACTTGTAATAACGAACTTACAAAAGGAATTTGTTTATCATAAAGAGACGTCTGGGAGACTCTATGGAGGTAAATCAACGCAGTATGGGGAAGTGATTCATATGATTCGAAGGTTAATTGAGCTGGCTCGTCTAGGGAATGTAATGTAGACTAGCTTTCTTATAGTAGCTCTGGTTAGGATTAGTTTCTTGTCTAAAGTGGATAGGATGTTAGTTTCTGCTTTTGCAGTTTCAGTTTCAAAATTGTGAATATACAGATGTGTAGAGCTTCAATAAATTTTTTTTTATATTGCCCATAAAAAATATTTGTTGTTCATAACTCTGCTTCACCTTAATTGTTATTGGAACAAGCAAAAGCTATGTATTGGTTGGAATGGGGGTAGTCTTTCTTTTTTGCATGTCCATGGAGTTTTAGTATCCAAGTGAAATCCCCTAGTATATAAAAGAGTGAAAAGGTACTTTCGTTTTTGTGGAATAAGAAGTCTTCGTATTTTAATGCATTTATTTAATTTATTCGGAGCTAGTAGAGTGGGATATACTTTTTGGGGAATATGAGTCAAAGTGTGCACGAAATAATTTGGTCTATGGATAGCATCATGGTGGTAAAGGCCGTAATGCTAGAGGAATCATTACCACAAGGCATAGAGGGGGAGTTCATAAAAATCTAGAGCGTAAAATCAATTTTCGAGGAATGAAAAAGACATACGTGGTAGAATTGTAACATGGGGGAAATAGAAGAGAGAACAAGGAAAGAGGAAAAAGTCTCATGGGTGGAGCCTCAATTCACACCAAGCCTACGAGCCATATACATCCTTTGAAGCATTTCATGAAAGAAGAAGAGTTCTCGTGTACCGAGACTTAAGAGCCACTATACGGCTCACGATGTTAAAGAAGTGTTTTTTGGGAGGCTACCCAACTACCGGTTTGCATTTCCTTTCCCTTCCATAATGCAACCTTCTTGAGCTTGTGGTGTTTGGTTATTTCCTTTCTCCACCTCCCGGATCTCACTCGTCCTATTAGTCTCTCAACCATCATTCATACCTAATCTGTTAACTTCGTTATGCCCTTCTCATCTTTTTGTGTATGTCTACTTTATTAATGCTACAGGAGATATTGCTTTTGCTTCCATTTCCTCTCGGATGTGTTGAAATTCTTTACTATCGAGTTTAGGACATATGTGTGAGACTCTCTCCCATTTTGGACCTCAAAAATCTGCTCCATTTTGAAAATGTTCTGGAAAATTAGTGTTCTCGCGTGAGAGGCAACTGGTCATAGTGTTTAAGTTAAGCCGTCGAAGGGCTTTTCTTTTATACCAGAGTGCCATTTGAGGATGGATTTGGGGATAATATAGCTTTCTAGCGTCCAACTATCATTATTTTCTATCTTTTATCCCCCCAAACACCTCTCCTCCCTCATGGTACTTGTCTGAGAGGAGATAGTGTGTCTCTGCGCAAGTCAGGAGACCTCGATTCTCGTTATTACCTTACATGTGTGGCAACCCGTATGTCGTTGAGACGTGAGTGCAAGCTGAGAATTGGTTCTTGAGAGATTAGGACTCATGTTTAGTGCCCTAATAAGCAAAAATGCAAGTGTAGTGCCGTGTTTGCCAATGTTGAGTTAGGGCTCGAGAGTTTCAGTCCTCTTTTGAAAAGTAGGAGCACCACCACAGAGTCTGTTGCTTTTGACATGGATGTGTTGTAACACCCCAAATTTTGGATTTAGATTCGATAGGTGATACAAAAATGCATAGGTTGAACCATTTTTATTGCAATGAATTTTTTAAATTATTTTATTTCAATTGAAAAATAAAAACAAAACAAAATGATTAGTTAAGAAATAAAAAATTTCCTAATTAAATTTCCCCATACAGAACGTTACACCCCTCCCTCCCATTTTCCCACCCCCTACGTCTCTTAATTCCCTTCTCCCGTCCCACATTAATATCATTCCCATTAACCCCCATTTAACCTCACCCCCTAATAAGCAAGCAACGCTAAAAGATATAAGAAATAAGAAAGAAGCGACAGCCCTAGAGTTCCCCACCACTCCACGTCGATTGATGTACCCGTTTCTTTCCAATGTACCATTAAACACTCGATCTCAACCCCATTCCTTGTACTACAGAGGTAAGGATCTAGATCTCTAATTGATCTCCGAGGTTAGTTTCAGTCAAACTCACACAAACCACGTGCATGCGAATTATAGCTTCTTGGCGATGACGTTGGGGCCTCGAAGGATGATCGACGAAGGGAAATCGACATCCAGAATCATGAAAAACCCTCCTTTAGACTTGTGTTAGAGGTAAGGACCTCGTTCCGTATGATTAAAATAGAATTACGGATTGATTTATACGTATATACGTTTTTTGTCTTATTAGTGACGAAAATTACAGTTCCTTAGCGACGGAATAAAGTTAGTTGCTAAAGATTGCTGGTAAATTACGCAGAACAGTCCTCCGAGTTCCAGTGTGAACAATTTAGTTCCCAATGTTTTGTATTATGACAGTTTGGCTGAAAAATCGCATTTCTCTTGGATGTATTTTATGGACATTGTACAGTGGATATTTTTATGATTTGATCATTTTATAAATTGGATAAAATCCATATGCTATTTTTCTATTAATTTAAGAATTTTTAGAGTCAATTTGCTATTTATAAAACTACGATTTTATTTAATTAAAATGTTCAATGAGAGATTCTGGGTGATTCGATAATTTAATATGAAACTAGGTTCATGAGAAGAATTTCAACAATTATCAATCGGAAATTTATGTCTTTTTAACATGGTTTTAAAATTTATTTATGATTAATTTTAATAAGAAAAGGGGGTTATTTAAGGTGTTGGTTTATGGTTACAATTTAAACATAATTACATCTTTTTTTTCACTCCAAATATGCAATAATTTCACCCAAAATTTAACCGTTGATGTATCTTGTGCCATCTAAAATTTCCTATTATGTGCGTAAAAAGAATGTCGTGATGATAGTGTTAGAGTGAATAGTGACCAAGTCTCTCGCGGTAGTGTTAATGGTAGTGATGAAGGCGATGATGATAACGACGACGTATACATGGATGCAAATGTTCAATATTAATGTTTAAATTTCGTTTTTTTTTTTTTTTGTTATTTAGAACCTTTTAGATGCTTTAATTTTGAAAATTTGGATTATTAAACTTATTTATGACTTGTGTGTTTTCTATAATTACGAACTTATTATATATGTATTAGAATTTGCTCTACTATAAAAGTTTGTTAAATTATACTATTTGCAATCTTGTCTAATGAGACGTAAATATTGTTGAAGTCCAATCACATGATAAAAAAATAATTATGTTTCGATGTTACGTCGTTTACGTTTTACATTTTTACTCATGTATCCACTTATGCGTAGTAATGCGCATTTGACTGCATAATGATGAGTTCGGCGGGATTAAATTTGTTAACCCTAACCACTGGCTTTAATCAATTGTATGTGTTTAACAGGAAGAAAAAACTTCTGTGATGATCATTACTTAATGATCAGTTATGATATGAAAATATATATATATATATTACTGAAGAAGAGGGAAAAGAGGTATCAATTAATTAAAAAGGAAAGAATAGAGGGAAAATGGGTTTCTCCTGTATGATTTGGCTTTGGAGGGTGTGAAATGATTGGGATGGTTATCTCTTTTTTCTGGAACCATATGATACCCAAAAGAAAGAAAAAACCCTAGTAGATGGATGATAGGTTGTGTGTGTAGTAGGGCATCATTTTAATCATTACTAGGGGACTTTGAGCATCGCTACGCAGCGGCTGTGATGGATTATAGGCTTTCTGTGCAAGTCCATGTGCATTTAATTACATATATTTTATCCTTTTCTCTTTCAAGTGCTCGCCAAAGCATGGATTACGAAACCGTACCGGACATCAAACCGGAATCGTTTTTGGCATGGTAAATCGTGGTACAACCATGGTTCAACCGTTTCCTACCGGTAAATACCATTTTTTGGATTAAAAAAATTATTTTTCTGTTAAAAAACCGTACCGACAAAATTAGGGTACCATACCGGGAAAATACCGGAATAATACCGAATTATACCGCCTAATTTCCCACTAATTTCACCCTAAAACCCGTCCATATTCACTCTTCCCATAAGAGACCCAACTCTCCAACTATATAACAAACCCCACAAACCCTCCACGCCCTCCCACCAAAACAAAATAGTACAGTAGTACACTAATCAGACTTCAGGAAAGAAAGAAAGAAAAGAAAAAAACAACATAAAGAAAAGAAAACAACAACATAACTCTATCTAGCATCAACTATCCGATTGAAACAAGATCCCCGAAATCTGAAACCCTAGCCGCCGAATTTCAATCCCTAGATTTTGCTACCGACACTCTTCTTCCTAATTCTCTTGTCTTCTTCTTCTTCTTCTTCTTCTTCTTCCTCTTCTTCCGTTCGCCTGTTGTAAGCTGCGATGGCGAAGAAGCGAAAGCTTGACGCTTCGAAAGGCGCTGCATCGTCGGGGCCGCCCAAGAAACAACAGCAGCAGCAACAACAACAGCTGCAGCTACAGAAGCTGCAAGAAGAAGAGGCGAAGAAGGTTAAGGTAGAAGAAGAGGAGGAGGTGGCCGAAGAAGTGGAGGAGGAGGCCGAAGAAGTGGAGGAGGAGGTGGAGGAAGAGGAAGAAGAAGTGGAAGAGGAGGAGGAGGAGGAGGAGGAGGAGGAGGACGGCGGCGAAGATGCGAACGAAGGGGATAAGCAGATCGGGCTGGGCTGGGACACCATCGCCGAGACCCTGATTGCAGCCTTCAAGCAGTATGGAGAGATCGAGGATTGCAAGGCGGTGACGGACAAGGTTTCTGGGAAATCCAAGGGCTATGGTTTTATTCTGTTCATCGCGGTGTTTGGATGCTGGGGACGCCGCTGTCGCCGATGGTGAGAAAATGGAAGCGAGTTTGAGAGGCAGAGCGGCGCGGGGGAGACGAGAGGAGAGTGTAGAGAGAAGGAAGAGCGCAGCAGCCGAAGGTAGGGTTTAGTGTAGTCTCTGCTTCTCTTCCAATTTTTTTTTTAGCTTGCTCAAAAACGTCGCCGTTTGGATTAAATTAAGGGGACCGCCGGTTTTAATAAAACCGGCCGAAATTTCGGCCCATTGCAGTCCAACCGTAAAAACCGCCCGGCAGGCTCTTGGATGGTACACAGCCCCTGTTGTGCCGAGCCAGGTCCGGTTTCCGGTTTTTCCGGTCCGACCGGCCGATCCGGTACGGTATCCTGGTCCTTGCCAAAGTAATAAACAAACATGTGATTAACGTAAAAGCTAAAAGTGGCAATGGGCTGATTAAATATGGATGTCTATACCCACACTTTACCACGGGCCCAAGTAAAAAAAGTGTGCAAAACCCGTTGACCCATTAACATTAGTTTGAGGTTTTTTTTTTTTCCGTTGCTTGTCTATTTCTCTCATTCATTATTGTTGTTAAAATAGAAAACCTAAAATCTAAATCCCTCCCCACTCCTCAGGAGCGGATAACTCTCGGTAACCATGAGTAACCTGTCCACATCAACATGACATTAGTAGTCTCTCTCTTGGAAAGTCTTTTATCTTTTGCCCTTTAATCTTTGATGGATGATTTCTCGCTTGTTTTAAGTCGAAATTTAATTTTTTTGCACAAATAAATCAGATTAAATATGCTCTTCAAAATGATATTCACTTTGATATATTTTTAGTACAAAAAAATTGAATAATTTTTTACCAGTCCATATGGTATGCTCCAATTTAATACCATATGGTAAGAAAGCATACCATGATGCTATGAACATACCAATATGGTAAGAAGGTTGAATACATGATAGTAGGAGTATATTAACTGTCATTTACGACTTTCATCGTTGTTTACTACAAGTTACCACAAGTTACCAATCACATACCATAGTGGTAAAGTATGGTAATATATTATCTAGTATTTTTTTTACCCAGAAATTTATAGATCCAATAGATCATGATGAACTCGTTTCTTCTGAGCAAACATTTTCAAAAACGATAGAAAAACGAAGAAGTTACCATATGGTATGTAGTTGGTAAAAAAACAGTTTCTCGAAATATATTGAAAATTGATCTCATTTTGTAGAGCATAACGAACTCATTCCATCTGTGCAAAAAAAATTGAAATCCGAGTTAGAACGAAGAAGATAAGAGTCAATTAAGAAAACTAAAAAAATAAAATTAGAATTATTAAGCACCGAGTTTTCTACTGTTGCATACGACAAAAACGGGATTACCTTTTTTAACTCGAAATTTACTGTTCACGTCTCTTTTTTTCTAATTTCCTGCGCCCGTGCGTATTTTACCAACCTTGGCGGCTGTTGTTCACTCTCTTTATACAGAGGATTGTACAAAAGTGATCTCCGTTGGGCTGGTCAAGTAAACGATTTATTCTGTTCATCTCTGTCTTTCTTCATCATTTAATTTGCAACAAATGATCAAGTCCGTAACTTTCTTCCTTCCCAATTCATTCAACGTGGACCAAACAAATAGTGAAATTGCCATCCAGATACCCTTCTTCCAAACTCCATATCTCCTTGAGTGAGAGAAGAATTAGTTTAGATTGCCATCCAGATACCCTCTCTTCCAAAACTCCATATCTCCTTGAGAGAGAGAAGAATTAGTTTAGCCTCTTATTTTGAATTATATTGCATGCAATTAGTTTTCTAACCCAAATTAACAACGTCTCCTTGCAATGCATTCATGATAAAGATGGGAGGGAACTTGCCTACTATCTGCAGTGCTCATCATTGAGATGGAAGGGCGCTCACCTATTCTCTTCTTCTCCTCTGCGAATGAAAGCGGGAGAATGGCCGGCCAGCATTCAAGCACAACAAATTAATTAAGTTAAACATGAAGAAGGATGGAGAAGAGAAGGGAAGGGAAGTGAAGTTATGATTTATGAGTTATGAGGCTATGTGGCATTGCTATTTATCCACCTGTCATTAAGGAAGGCACGTGGCCTGTAATGGAGAAGTTATTGGGTAGTTTGGAAATGATGAGATGGAATTCATCATCTTGCATGGTGGAGACTTGGAAACAAAAACACATGACTTTTTAAAGTTCTTTATAAAGAATGGAGGGTATTAAAATGAAAACTTCAATAGTTACATAAGGAAATTCAATAATATTACACCAAGGAGAAGCAAATTATCTCCGGGAGTTATTATTCCTTAACCGGTTTATGTGTATTTTGTTAATACCAAGTGACCAACTCTACAGCTAGAAAACGGGTAAGATGTGGAGTTGGCTTTAAATGGGAGGAATGGTTGATTTTATGTCGTAAAGCACAGTATTATTTTAAATTTTCGTTAAATTAATCATTTTCAAATTATCGAAAAAATTAAAATTATTTTAAAATTTATTTTTTTGGTTAATTTGCAAATGATAAATAATAAAAATCTTGAATTTGAATTTTTTAAGGATTTTTAAGCTAACGAGGTAATGACATGGTGTGTTGACTAACGGTCAATGATGTTGACCGTCCAAATTGACAGTCAAACCATGTGTCGGGTCAATTAAGTCTGTATGCTCCATAGTTGAGGCCAGGATGTTAATTTAAGAAACCACAAGCCAAAATTGATGATATGGTTATAATTCGGGCCAAAATAAAATATTAACCCGATTGTCTAATTGGTTCATTAGTTAGCATCGTCTAAAATCATACCAAACCACTTACAATGATTACTACTGTAACCATTACATTTGACTACCACTGAAACACAAGTTCTGTACGGTAAGTAAGTTAACTTTTATGAAGTGGTTTAATCAAATGTCATTCTTTTATAACTTGATTTTGTTATTAGACAACATATTATAAAAGATTTGCATAACACTATTACATAACAATATATAAATCACAAATACATTACGTCAAACATACATAGGGATATTTATTCCATATTAATCAAACGTAATGCACTACATCAGTCTTCTTTAATGACTAATACTCTACTTTCTTATTAGAAGTTTGAATGAAATCCCCAAATTTAATTCAATTGTTGGTCATCTCATTAATTGTGATTACACAAAATTTTTGTATGGTCGATTAGTTTTACATCAAGTTTTAATCAAATTAGATACTTTTCTTTATTAATGGCTAGAATGTTTATCATCTCATCAATTTGCGTTACACACAAGTTTCATAAGATAACTTAAATTTTCCTCGATAGTTTAATCGTGAGACTTACCGGTAACTTGATTTTATTGTCATGGCTTACATTACGAAAGATTTACATAACACTATTCTAAAACAATTAAGTAAATTTCAAATATATTGCGTAAAACTCATAAAGTAATAATTATTTGTTTTAGATAAAGGAATGTACTATGTCGGTTTTTCCTAATAGTTAAGACATTATACAAAGATTATGGAACTATTTTAGACGACTACTTTATAAATTATTTGATTAATTAAATCATGAAATAAGTGAATAAAATTATAAATTTAATTAGTTTTATACCGGCTACCGCGGTAAAGCGCGGGCCAAAAAACTAGTACTTTTAATTGACGAACCTTAGATCTAAATTTTCTGAACTCACTTAAATCTAAAAGTCCACATTTAGTTACTCATGGCTAGTAACCATTGATTACTCCACTTCCAGATGAAAAAACATATCCCATTGAGAGATCTTGCCTCTCTCTCTCTTTATCTATTATCCATCTATCTCTATCCCATCATCGATTGCAGAAAATACTGTTTAGGAAAAGAGAAGGGAAAGCTGGGGAGCTGTCGTTCGGTCTTCTTCCTTGAGAGGCCAATTTAATCAATTTCATCTGCATGCATTCCACTACTCCACTTTCCCATGGGAGATGACGATGTATGTGAAACCAGAGGTCTAGCTATGTTCCACCTCTTCATATTCTCGATCCCCATCCCTTCGTGAAAATTGCGATGGCCAGGGTGAATCTTATCTATTTTTCTTGGGGTTTTAAATTCAATCGATGAAGAAAACGGAAGAAAAGCCAAAAGAAACTCAAGTGGAAATGTCGTCTTCTCTGTCGGATCCGTTCCTGGGTAGATCTGGTGGCATGCAGGGACTTAAAAGGAGGCTTTTCCGTTTGTATGGCGGGTATGATAGCGTTGTAGTCTCGATTTGATTTCTGGTTAAGATTCTTCTAGGTTTCAATTTTCTTACTGAATATCAATTTGGCACTTGGGGGTTTTCCAAAAAAAAAAAAGAAACTCTTTATACTACGAATTTGGATTGATGATATCACTATTTGAGCGCATCTCCCGTGGAGTCGTGGTTCAGTTTATGCACAATACGTTTAGGATTTTCTTCTTCATTTTTTCTTGTCTGGATGGCTCTAGGTCGCCTCTGCTTGCTGCTCATCCCAAGTAACTCAGATTGATTCAATTAAAAAGCAGAGTTTGGTATTTGGTCCTCTCTCCCTGGCTAGACGGCGAGAATGCTACCATGATGGCCTGATTTCTGGGTGAGATTTGTATGGATTTCAACTCTCTTAATGCGTGGCAATTTTCTACGTTTTGCAGTGCAAAAATCATATCTTTGTGCCGAAAATAATTCAATACATCTTATTTTCTTGCTTCTTCTTCTTTTGTTTCCCGTCGGACTTGATGGGCAATAAGAGAATCGTGCGAGCGCGGAAAGGAAAATCGAGAGACTTCTTCTGAATCCCTCTAGCACCTTGACGCAAGGGAGAAGACGGAAGGGCAGTGTAGACGGTGAAACAGAAAAGGTTATCCAAACTGCGGGAGAGGTTGGAGAAACGTGGCGGGAACAAAACCTCATCGTAAAAGGAGGTGGCGGGTGACCGAAGGAAAGAAAGAAGAAAGTGACGGTGGTGTATGATAGAAACTAATCCCACGCTGGGCATGCAAATCAATGACTGTGAGCCAAGCAAAAATAACCAACAGCACAGAATAGCAAATCTCTAGTGCAACAGTAACCTGCTCTCACTTTAATGACATCTAGGATGCTTTGTGGCTGGCCGGGAGAGAGAGAGAGAGAGAGAGCAGTCACCAAAGTCACGACATTCATTTTCGTTTCGTAGATGGGCATAGACTAGTAGTTACAATTGTAGGATGCATCAACCTCGATTCCTTCACCCTCTGCCTCTCCCTTTGCGCGCTTTCCCTCCAGTCCAGCCCCAAATCTCAGTCCCCAGTTGTGCCAGTATCCATCTTCAATGACTACTCTCTGATTGCAGCGCGTCACATCTTCCACTCCCAGCTTTTGAAGAATTCTCCCTTTTTGGCGTATTTGTTACACCTATTTTTTCTTACAATTTTCTCCCTGGTTTAGCAAAAATAAATGTATATTTTCATATTTTTCTACAGAGAAATAGAGTTATGGAGAAATAATATGATCTATAGAGTTATGGAGAAATACTATGATCTATGAGGGTAAATTGTAAAATTTGAGATTATTAAAGAATCTCACGTTTGTCAATAAAAATATTTTATTTCATTCATGATCACTAAAAATAGTTTAATAGTTCAAGCTTGGTCACTCTCCGTTAGCCTCCACTAATAGTGTCATTCTTTTGCTGGCGTGGCTAACGGAAACACCCAGTCACCCAACTTGAACAACAACAATAATTCAACTAGGCACATCAATTATCAATATACAAACCACAACAAATAACCAAAGTACCAAACCCACCCCACTCCAACCTTTCACCCAACTCAAAACCCTATATCTTTTTTTGCAAACAGATTCCTCCAACGTAGCACACTCTCCTCCAGTCACAATTGAAGCAGGGGAATCTCTCTTTCTCCAATCACATTTGTACAGGTTATTAATTATAATGTAAGTCTTAGTCATTTATATTGTAAGTTAGTCATATTTTAACAAAAAATAAAAACACAAAAAAAAATTAGTAAATGTTGTAGAACTGTTTTAAAATTAAAAAAAGGCAAAATTCATTTCCATAGCCATAACTTTGCACTTTGTGACAAATATAGCCAGATTCTGAGAAATACACAGAAATAGCCAAAAACTTGAAAATGCGTTGACAGTAATAGCCATTTCCGTTATTAAAGATGACGCCGTGAGGGACGCCGTTAATTGCATGTCCGCGTCGCTAACGTGGCCGAATTTTGGATTACACGTCGGCGCCAACAAGTCTGAATTTGCCACCAAAGCGCCACGTCACCAGAGGAGAGAGAACCGGGCTTTAAATGTGCTCAGCCACTTCTTCTCTCCATCTCATTTTACGATTTCATCGACCCTCCAAGGAAAAACCCAGAAATCGGCCAGTCTGAATCCAGCGAAGAAACCTCGACGCCGACAACTGTGATTCCGCCGTCGCTTGTCTCCCTGTCCATCCACCGATCTCGCCGACCCCTGGTTCCCCTCGTCCCTTCTCCATCTCATTTTTCGATTTCATCGACCCTCCAAGAAAAACCCCTAAATCAGCTTCCATCTTCCTCGTAGCGGCAGTCTGAATCCGGCGAAGATAACGCAGCAGCCGTGGACAACTGTGATTCCGCCGTCGCTTGTCTCCCTACCCATTCACCGACAGTTAGCATCTCCCATCCCTAACGATGTCACAAAGGGGCATTCGGGGCTCTCGCAAGAATGGCGGCGATTCGGGGTCAACCAGCGTCAAGAGTGGGTTTTCCTTCCTATGCGAACACAATGTCCCAGCTGTGATTAATACATCTGGGACTGAGTTGAATCCAGCCGTATGTTGTAGGGGCAATCTCGTGACAAAGAGATTCTTGTGGTCCACACTTGCTGCGTCGCTATCTTCACTTTACAGCTTGGTTATTCCTTCCTATAAAGGAGCAATTTTGGATTAGAGTTCCCACCATTCACATCCATCCACACAAACAGAGGTGAGAGTAAGAGAAGCGAGGGGTAAGGAGTAACAGAGGCAAGG